AAAAAAAAAAAAAAAAAAAAAAAAAAAGGGGGGGCAACACAACGCAGCAGAAGGAAGAACAACAGATTGAACAAACAGAACGGAGGGGCACTCCCAACGCGAAACAAACGGCAACGTACAAAAATAGAGGCACGCAATTTTTCCAAATGAGTTAATTTCAAATTATACTTTGTGGTTAATTTTTCTCATAGAAGAAAGGAAGTGCGAAAAAAAAAACTTGAAAAAACGGATTTGCACAAAAAAAAAAAAAAAAAAAAACGTCAAATGCTTATGTCGTTACGATTTGTGTATTCACTGCTCGCAGGGGGAGTTACACGTATGATAGTTTAATTTAAAAAAAAAAAAAAACAGAATAACGCGGAAAAAAAGGCGCAAAATTGTCGGAAAAATGGCGGAAAATGGCCGAAAAACGTGAAACAGTGCGACGCATAAAATGAACAGAACAAATGCGATTTTTTAGATCACCAATGGTGTATATTTACATGCACGTATTTCCACTTGGCGGAAAAAAAAAAAAAACGAAGAATATTTTTATTTGCGATTTTGCTGAAATGGGCATGTATGCGCGCGAATATTTTAGACACAGAAAAAAAAAAGAATACATGTAAAAGTGGGCAAGCGTGCAGTGAGGGGGAAAAGAAAAAAACGGCCCCAAGGGGTGACCAAAATTTTCCAAACGGTGACAACAAAAAAAATGCTACGGGCGGATAATGGCGATACGCATGGCGCCCCAAGAGGCATATCAAAATTGCCGCAAAAAAAAAAGTAAACGGCATACCAAGTGATACTACGAAACAACAATTTTTATTGCTGATGAGGAGGTATATTTTTTCTTTTAAATGGTGTGCACTTTCTCCCGTCATGGTTATACTTTTATTTCCTTCTGACCCTGTGCTAACCTGGGGTTAGACAGGGCGAACACTACTTCCGTTTCGTTCACCATTTGTTCTGTAAGCCCATGCACCCCCAGAAAGAAACACGTACAAAATAGCATGAACGGCAAAAAGGGAAACGAACCAAGTGGCAGGGAATAGTGCGACCGCGAATAGCGAGGAAGGGGAAAAAAATGACATACCGCTCGGGGAACAGAAATGGGGCAATACACCATATAATGCGAAACAGGTGGAAGTCCGTTTCGGACGACTGGCCCATATTTTTATAAGGATGGGAAAAGCAGAAAAATGCGCACAGTGAAGTTTTATCCCCCCCCAAAACGGGGGCCCCCTAAAAGAGAAGATACCAGAGGGTGTAATAAGCCAAGTGGATGGAGCTGTTCCCATAGGGACGAAAACGTAATGTCAAGCTGGCGTCTGTTTTGTTAACCATTTGTCAATTATTGTCCCTGTGCATAGGATTTTGTAAGATCGTTTTTTTCTTTTTTTTTTTTTTTTTCCCCCTTCATCTTCCACTTTGTTCTGTGCGAATTCTTGCACACATGGTGGAAAGAAAAAAAAAAATAATATAAACGCCATTTTTTAGCTTTTCCACCAAGCAGAAAAAATAGGAGCTCATTTTTGTTTCTTCCTTTGGCTACATTTTGATTTACACCCCTGAGGATGAAATTTCAACATGTAGAAGCCGAAACGTGTGGAAGCATGTGCTTAGGAATGAAAGAAATATGTTTTTCTTTTTTTCGTGGCAATTTAAACCCCTATGGGTGAATTAATCCCAGCAAAAAAAAAATAGGAAAAAAAAAAAAAAAAAAAAGGATTCACAAAATGTACACATAAATTACATGTACATATTGCTACAAAAGTGGTACACGCAGTGGAAGCGTTTTATAGGGGAGTTACAGTAAAGCAGGACCTTAGCCTTTTGCACAAAAATTATTTTTTTTATTTAAATTTTTTTTCCTTGTGCCCACTCATTCGTAAGCGCGTTTTATTCGCGTATATTCTTAACCATTCCGTTTTGACACTTTATTATTGTGCAGTTATATGTAACTCGACTATCCTACTGTTCCACCTTTGCATATAATTCCGTTTTACCATATTAGATTAAGCTGTTGTTTCTCCTTCCGCATTTCACCTTACGAGTTTATGTTACTGCCTTGGATCACTCCCTTACGATACTACATTACGTTGCCATACTGCGCAACTATACGGTGTTGCTGTTTCTGCCGCTTCTGCTTTTCTTTCTTTTTTCTGTGCAAGAATACCGTTAACATAAGTGAGGAAGCGAGCCAGGAATGAATCATACGCAGTTACCGAAACAAGGTTCACTTCACTTGTGCAAAAACTGAGTAACATACTCTTTCCACATCTACCATTTTAAAATACAGTTATTCCCCCTGTTTTCCTAATGACTACGGGTACTGCCGCAAAAGCGTGCGAAGCGCCGTGGTGGGAGGAAACTAGGCGCCTCCTGGCCATACACCGCTTAGACGCACACCCACGTGTTTCTCCGCCCATATGTACACACAACACCACCTCTACACCCACCCCCTTCTCGCCCGTTTCCCATTTAGGTATTTATTTCCTACTCCTGTTAATATTGTTCTATGCCTACCTGAGTTGCGTGCTATACCAACTGCGCGTAAGAAACAGAAAGGTTTCGCCCGTAGCCTCCGCCAATTTGACGGGGGAGAAGACTAGGAATTTTTTGTTCATTTTTTTGTTTTTCTGTAACATAAGTAAGGCGAAAATGGGACAGCGCGAAGGGCGGATTATCTGATTACCGCTTGTATCGCTTTACTGCTTTACCGATTTATCGTTTGTCCCCATGCCATCTCGTGTGTATACGCTCACAAATGCTCACTCTTCCCCCCCCTCTTCCCGCAGGCAGAATAATATCCCTTTCAGTTGTGACCTACCTGGATATACGCTATTCCGTGATAGACTACAGCACGCTGCTGTTATTTCCCAATTTCTATTTCTACTTAATCATATTGAAAACCATTCCCACGTACCTGTTTTTGTCATCTTTCACAATTATAATACTTTTTTGGTCCCAAGTTTACTATGCGTCTATATTAGTGTCCGCTCCGCATTTACAGTAATGTTTTTCCCCAAAAAAAAATAAAGAAAAGAAAGTGGACGATTTTGTGTGCATTTGTGTGTGAATTATTTTTTTCTGAAATTTGGCTAGCTCGTGTGCAGGCGAGTAATCGCAATACGAATAGTAGTTGTTATTTTTTTTTTTTTTTTTTTTTTTTTTTTACCTTCAGATCGCTGTACATTTTCCTAAATGGCCTTGTGTACGGAATAAATATCGTTTTGGCTAGCTTGAGCTATTTCACGCAGTCGTTCTACAACTACATTTATTACAACTACATCCTGGAGTCCATAATAGATTACTTAATAGCCATAGCATTCCTGTACTATGGGGTTAAGGTGCGCAGGTGTTTTTGCTCATTTTGCATTTATCAAGTGCTCGAGTGTGTATCCTTCGCCACAGTTACATATATATATATTTTTTGTTTTATTTTGAAGGTGACCAAGAAGCTGGAAGAAAAAAGCAAAGGAATTTCAAAAAACAACAGTATTATAAAAAGGGTAACTAATCTGAGAACAAGAGAGACATCCACATATCATTGGCGTTCTTCATATTTTTCCTACGCCTATGTTGTAACAATGGGTACAAAAAAAAAATAAGAAGAAGAAATATGAGCAGTGCAGGCGGAACAATATAAATTTTTTTTTTTTCTTTTTTGAACAATTCAGATACTGTCTTTGGCTATTATTATGTTTATTATTTTGGCTCTGAAGGGATTATACTCCTTTTGGTGTTTCCTCAAGAATTCGAACTTTTACAACTCCTACTTGGATTTACCTACTTGCGACGCGATAGTAATGTCAAAGGGGAGGAAAAAACATTTTTGCCTTTCATCTCATCCCTATATGTATGCCTTACGTGCTCTTTGCACGTCCATGTAAACATCCCATTTTCCCCCCTTTTCTTTTATCTCCTCCGATAACAGTCTTATTTCATCTCAGAATGCATCCCGTCGCTCCTCATCATTTACACCTTTCAATCCAATAAGGACAAAAACGTACGGAAGGAAAAATGACTGGCATTCCCAAGCCATTTGAAAAAAGATAAACGTGGCAGTGACTTTACGAACAAGACAGTTTTTTAACACATATGAGAGTATGTGTACACATATATACATTTTTGTATTTATTTTTTTTCTTTGCTTCCCTCCCTCTTGCAGTCGATGAACTTTGATTACACGACTCCTCTGTGTGCAGACACATTCGACCCGTATAATTTAAAATTCAAAAAAAAAAAGACAAAGAAGAATACGAATGTATAGAAAATGAGCAAGATCAATTTGTGCCTCAGGCTACCGTTCGAAATCGTGCGCATACGTGTGTGCACGTGGGAAGGCCTCTCTCCATAATTGGTATTATTATTAAGGTATGCGCGGTGAAGAAAGAAGGCGGAAAGGAGAGAAGCGAGCCACGGAAATGTATGAACACGCCCTTCTGCAACCAGGCATGGAGAGGAAGCTATATGTGCATAATGGTTTTGTGGCCTTTTTTAATTTATGAGAAATAATGGAAATCGTTATTAAACATTTTCCCGATACATGCCCGTATGACCGCGTTGATCAGCACGCTCCATCGGCGCGTAGTCCAGTGGCACATCCTGCTCCATTGCCGCTGTCCTATTTGAAAAAAACCTATCCGTTTAATTCATCCCTCAGTAGCTGCGACTGAATGAGAGTAAAATTATTTGTTTAAATGAACAGAAACATATTAACTTAATTTTTTTTTTCTTTCTTTTTTTTTTTTGCTTCTTTTCTTGGTGAGGCGCCGCTGACGTTTCTACCTAAGTAGGATCATTCTGCACAGCCGTCCATTTTCCATCCCAGTAGATGGAACATTCTCTTGTCAGAAGTTATGAAAAGGCGGAAGGAATAATTCAAAATCATATTAAAAAAAGGAGTCGGATGAAAAAAAAAAAATATAAGGATCGGGACATGTAGCACTACAAACGTTTGCTCCATAAACAGGGTTACATAAAAAACTTATAAGTTGTGCACGTGTGCTCCAATAACAATGTCGCACTGCACATGCAAATGGTTATGTTCCTTTTTGTGTTGTCGTGATGTGTGTTCGGAGGTTGTGTTCGCCGTTTATACGTGCGCCCAATTATTTTTTTTTCTTCGCTTCGGTAATCATAGTCCTTGTAATATCAGACACGTGTGCGGTTCGCAGTTGGCAATAATGGAGTTCTTCAAAGGGAAAAGAAAAGAATAAGGAAAGGGAGAAAATATGGGCACGTATATATATGTATGTGTGTGCATACAGTGCGCGCACACTTTGGGCTCATGCGCCGGTTTTACTTACGCATAGTTTTTGGAGCCTGAGGTTGAAGTTGTTGGCGCTGGGGTAGTAGGATTCCAGATTGGAGCACTTGACAACTGCGGTGGTGGGAAGGCGGTTATGCGAAGTGGTAGTTGGCAGTGGGCAGAAGATGCGGCGATGCGAAGCTGTCCCACAATTGGTGTAATGTCACACACAAAAAGGGACCTCCAAAGGAACGAGGTATGATACGTTGAAATGTCGCGAGGGTGTATAGTTCGCCCCGCATTATTAGCCCCACATGCTGCGCTTTTGGTCTGCATGGAGGACTCACCGCTTAAATTGTTGTGGCAATAGGCCTTCCCTTTGCGCTTGAGCGTGTTCCGCTTGGAGTGGCCATACTTCACTTTGAGCGAGGTGATGTTCAGCTTCTTGTCGTGCTTGGTGAAGATGTAGAAGAAGTTCTTGGACATGACCTGGGGGTAGCGATGAATGTGGGGAAGCGGTTGAAGTGGTGAGGCGGCACGATGTGTAGATGCTCACGTGCACTCCTCCGGTTGTGACCTACCACGACGCTGAGGACGGTGAGAGGGCGCAGGTTTATGCCTATGGCACGTCTCCGGATCAATTTGAAGCGCAAAGCGCACTGGTAATATGTGTCAATGCGCACGAAGGAAAAACGATCACAAGTGCACACGTGGAAGGGGTACACCTTGGAGGGCACCACTTGCCCAACATACACATCGTCAAAGGAGGAAGAATTACGAGCAAGGTCATATTTTGTATTATTCTCTGAAAGAGTAAAATAATGAAATTGATGATTACTTTGAAAATGGAGGATGGAAATGTTGTAGACTGAAATGAATTTGTTATTTTCCCTTTTGTTCAAGGACTGAAAAATTTTATCCAAGTTGTGTTGAATGGTACAAAGTGCTAAAAATAATTTTTGCTTTTTCACCTGAGTGTTGTGTAAATATTGATCAAAATGATTGAAGTGAATTTTTTTGTTCCCTTTAACAGAATTGTAATTTTTTAAAATTTCCACATCGAAATTTCTGTAGTTTGAAAAGGCTTCTTTATAATGAGGAAATTTTTCAAAATAAATATTTTTCGAAATGAATAATAACAACTCGATTAGGAAAAGGAAAATGTTCAAATGTGTTTGTAATTTGAAGTACTTTTGAAACTTCCTGATACAAAGAATGATGAGTTCTTGTAATTTTTTAATTCGGTCCAGGCGGTATGTCTTCAGCATAACTTGCATGTTGTCAGTGAGGGATTTACAAATCCATATTATTCTGTGCAAATTTATTAAATGCTCATTTATATTTTCGAGAAACACTTTTTCGTAGTAGTTTAAGACCATTTGGAAGTTGGTCATACACTTTTGTAATTCCTTTTCGCTAAACTCTTGTAACAATAGGAGTAGATTGAGTGGACATTTTTGTTCGCTGTACATGAGGTAGATATCCTTGATCAACGAGGTGTAAATTTCTTCATCACTGATTTTTTTTTTTTTTTTGGGGGGGGGGATGACATAGTTTAGTTCGAATTTTTCAAAGTTGTGCATTGTCTTTTTCTGTACTAGCAATTCGCAGCTGGAGCATATGTTCTGCCCTCGAGGGACTATAAATTTCCGGCTCCTGCGGAACTGTTCCTCCAGTTCGCCTTCCGACAGCGGCAGGTCATCATCATCGTCATCGTCATCGTCATCTTCACCGTTCTTTTCCTCCGTTGTGTCCTGTGCTGAGTCCTCCCGTTCTTCCTTCCCCCGGTTGGCCACGTCACCTCTTGGCGGACGTTCCGCTGTTTTCCCTTTTGCGAGCCGATGTGTGCATGCCTCTCGTTGTGCGCTTCTAGCGGAACGCGCGCTGCTACAACTGCGTTTCACCCCTGTAGAGACGACTTTATCCAGTCTGTTTGTTACCCCTTGCCTAAGTGCAATTCCGCTACCTTTCCTAAGGAAGCCATTGCTGCCCCTGTTCTTTATTGCTCCCCTACGAAGGGAGGACGTCGTGCCATGACTACCATCCTTTCCATCCACACGGTTGTAATAACATTTCGCGCTGCTACTTCGGCAGAGGGAAGTGCCACACTGGCTTCTATAACTCATGCTTTTTCCCTTCTTCCCCAGCTCCACACTATCGGCGCCGCAGCTGTCCTTCATACTACTAATCTGACCTCTTGCGGTTGTTCCTTTTTTTGTGTCCATTTGTTGTAGACAACTGGTTGTGCTCTTCATCCCTTGAGCGACATTTTTTGACTCTTTTTTCATTACCTTGCTTGGACGCCCGGTGGGTGGGAGCGTCCCACTTGCGCTGCTCAGGCGCCCATTCATGTCGCTAACACATCGAGTGGTGCCGCTAGCACATGGAATCGTACCGCTAACACACCCGATCGAGGGTCCCCCTTCGTAGCTGTTCAAGACCCCCCTCTTTATGTTCTCTTCAAACGGGTCTTCCTTCTTGACGCCGCGCCGTGTGCCTCCAAAATGGGCCTTCAAACAGTCCTCTGAGAATTCCCCATTTGCCGCATCGACTTGATTTTCCGTAGCCACCTCTCCCCCAGTGTTTGTCCATGAGATTGCACCATTTGCAGTACCTTCATGTAGAGGAGGGTCATCGCCCCAATGGATATGCTTCCCCTGATGGAGCATCTTCCCCTGCTCTCGAGCATCCACCTGCCCACTAAGACACTTCTCCTTAGAGCATGAGCAACAGATCGTGTTGTCGCTTATCATCTTTTTTATTACATCATAGTAGCGAGCAAAGTCTCTTTTTTCATTTTCCTTAAAAAATAAATTGTACAAATTTTCGTCAAAATTTTCCCTCCGATTTTTAATAAATTTGGAAAAATAAACCATCGTCCGATCTTTGTAGTAGAATTTCTTAAAGTGGCCATTTAATTCAACAATGCTTCGATAAATTTTGTGCATTTTTTTGTACTCACTAAATTTTGAGTACATGGTTGACATTTGTTTGTATATGTGGAAAATGCTCTGCAGAATGTTGGAAGAGTGTAAAAGGTAGAGGACTATTTTTTCCACGGATTTGAATTCTTTTTCCACGTCACCACATTTTTGCATCCCCAGGAGACACATTTTGTACTTGTGTGATGGCAGTGTAAGTTGCTTTGCCTTTTCTCTGTTCATGATGATTTTTTTTAGATTGAATTTCTTGTGTCTTCTTCCAGGTTTGCTGTCCTTTTTAGCGAGATTACCCGCTTGGCTGGTCGATATGGTGGACGTCAGGCTGGCCGATTCGCTGGGCCTCCTCCAACTGCGTGGTTCCAAGCTAGAGAAACGTAAGTACTTCCCCTTCACATGCACGTAGTACTTCACTAAAATGTAGTGCTGCTCATTCGAAATGTACGATTGCTTTATGTCAATAACGAGGTCGTTGAAGATCCTTTTAATGATACTTTCTTTTACGTCTAAATGGTAAGGAAAGGAAAAAGATTCCGTCGCACCCCAACTGTGTGCATTGAGACCATCACGGACACTGTTAACCCTGTTTATTGAGGTGTTAAAGTTGTTCATTCTCGTTCGATGGTAATTATGCTTTGCCCACTTGACATAATGCCCACATGGGTATTTTTTTTTGGCTTTACATTTTTTTATAAATTCCTTTTTAAATGCTTGAACAATGTTATTTTTAAGCTCAACATACGAATTTATATTTTTATACACATGGTTTAAAATGTTGCACTTGTAAAATATAATCTTTAAATTCATGGAGCATATAATGTTAAACCCTACGTCCAGGCTATGCATAATATGCACGCTGTCAAAATAACTGAAAAGGTAATAGTAGCCATTATTTTCTGTACATTTATTTCTGTTATCTTTTTCTATGTTAATCCAGAATATGTCCACAATTTCTAGGGGCATTTTTTCGTACTGCGCGTTGGATTTTAATTCGTTTTTTTCTCCATATTTTGCAATTCGATTGGTCGAGGAGATGGAGAAGAAGTAATCACACACACTTTTTTTTAAGCACAAATCGTAACTTCCCAGGATGGGCGAATTGGATTTAATACTCACATCGGAATGTTCTTCTTCCATCTTGCCACCATTTGTCTGGTTATCATTTGTCTGGTTATCATTTGTCTGGTTATCATTTGTCTGGTTATCATGTGTCTCGTTATCATTTGTCTGGTCATCACAGTCTGTGTGTGTGCCGCTTTTCTGTCTCTGCTTTTTGGGCCTATATATTCCACATTCCGTTCTCTGTTTGGAGGAATTATTCATGTTGCAATGACTGGTTTGCCTGGTGGAAACCCTTCCGTGGGTTTGTTTTTTCCCCTCATTTTCGTTTCCCACAGATTTGTACCTCCTTGTTGTTGTGCCGCTCTTTAATACGTTCCCACTGAGGACAGGACCATTTTTGTTTTTTTCGCTTTTCATAATACAGTTGCTGCTGATCGGTTGCTTCCTATTTTTTATGTCTCCATTTTTGCCTGACCAGGTCAGATGATTTTTTGCACCCGTTAATTTTCCGCTATTCGTTTTTTTCACATTATCGTTAAGAGCGGGTGCAACTGAATTTTCATTCTTCACGATTTTGTCACATTTAAATCTCTTTGTGTTGTTTTCACCCGGACTGTTGTCTTTCACTTGATGTTCCTTATCGGCGCGGGTCCAGCTGGTTTCTTTTTTACGTTTTCTTTTGTAGTAGCCTGAACGGGAAAAAAAAAAAAAAAAAGTACAATAAAGCTAGTTGCACACACAGAGATTGCATTTCTTTCAGGGGTGAATTCACGGCGGAGACTCAGAAGGTTAAAACGGCCATCTGTTATGTAGTTCCTTTTGTCTTCTCATTGTATCATATGTCACATATTGCGTATCAGCCATCAGGTAACAATCAAGCCTCATGTGATTGCATAACGGAACACACATGGTCACTGTTTGCTTCCCTTCACCTTCTCGTCTCACCATTTTTGGGGGGCACAATCTTCTCCCTCTCGGCACCGCTCTTTCTCCAGTACAAGCAATGCATTTCCTCATTTTTGTACACAAGGTTCCCCTTCATGTCGAAGATGTATACGCTACCATTTTTACTCGTCACACAAATGTACCTGTTGGAATGATTTATATAAACTTTGTTAATGCTGTCTGGAATGGTCTTTCGAAATATTTTCTGCATTTGGTTGTTCGCACTGAACATCTCTAAGTTGTAATCATTTTCGTAATACGTGATAATGCATATGTAATTGTTGTCGTTGCTTATGGTGGCAAAAATCATGTTGGCTCTATGCAGGCTCCTGCAATTGATTGCATTTTTCTTTTCCATCGTCATTGTGTTTTCGTTAGGGCGAAGTTAAAGTGGAAAGAAGAGAGCACACATAAGGGAGGAGTCAACAAGAAACAATGCAAAAAAAAAAAAAAAAAACGTGACCAACCTGCTAGTCAACAAATTGAGCAACCGAGTAAACGCACAAAGGGAGCATAGTGTTACACTTTTTCCCAATTTGTATATTGTCCTTCATGTAGGTAATGTGCATACGTACATGCTGTGCATCTGTCTGTTGCATTGCCACTTTGTTAATTCATTAAAAAGGAAGAGAAGCACAAAAAAAAAAAAAAAAAAAAAAAATTTGACACTAATATTAAGCAAACGAATGACAGAAACAAAATCTCCTTGGGAGAAGGCCAAAATGGACGCTTAGAAGGAGGTGGCAAAAAAGAAAAGAAATTGCGTTTTTAGGAATGGTCACAAGGAATATATGACATGTTGTCCGCTCCTACACTCGTTTGGCTAAGCATAACCACGAATACGCATTTGGTTCATTCGAACGGTGTGGAGCAGTTTAAGCGTTGTGTTTATTTCATTCCTACGAATTCATAAAATTGCGCAGTGCGCTTTATGGATGGAGACACAAAAAAAGGGAAAGAGGTAGAGAGATGAATCGGGTACACTCGAAAAAAGTAAAAAAGGAATAAGGAAAAAAATAGCCTACCACGTGCAGTCGCATAGTCCCTCTGAAAGAAACACGAAAAAAAGGGGAACAGAGTGGGAAGAACGAATGTGAGCAAACCCTTCATTCGCAATTTGCAGACTGCGTTTCGAACTCTGTCCTCTCAGAGCCACGCGCATACACACTCACGCACAACAGACCGCACATGTAGATTGACATGAAGTAGTTTTTTATGGTACGATTAAAGTCATAATATGAATAGACAAGAGTGATGAATTCAAAATTGCTGGAAATAAGGACGAGGAGTAGAATGAATTCACAAATTGGTCATGTGTACTGATCGGCATATATACATTTATAAAAAGAAAAAAAAAAAGAGGGAAAGAGAGGAGGAGACTAAAATAACAAAGCGAATGTAACACTTTGCATTGCCCAATGAAAACATCCACCTACACGTGTGCACATGTGCAGTATGCTATATATTAGTGTGCACCTTTTTTTTTTTTTTTTTTTCTTTATATGTAATTATATTTGTTCACTTTTTTATGAGTACGCGGGGTTTTCCGATCATGTGCCGTCGCTTAGAATGAGGACCTGCTCAACAACAGGGGGTGGGCCCTATGTGAAACGTCACAGGTAGGAACATGTGACTCCATAAAATTGTCACACATAATAGTCTCTCACACAAGGGCAACTCACGAAATGGAATGCAACTAAAAAAAAGATAAAAAAAAAAAAATGTAATATTAAAGTTGACATGGGAGCAGGTAGAGGAGAAGTTAAAATGACGAAACGATTATACTCTCCCCCCGCCGCATAACTTGGTACACATAAGTTTTATTTTATGAAAGATGATGAAGAAGGGATTTGTTCTATACGTAAAAATTGGGCAGCACGTGGAAAGTGCAAGGGGGATGAGGGAGGCCCTTGAGTGTAAATGTTGCTCAGACCTTGGAAATGAATAGTGGATGGAAGTGACACCAGGGGCACGAAATAACACGGAGGATGCGCAGGAAACTCTCAGGAATAATCACACACACTCCATCATGACACCTTTTTCGTGAAGCTTTAAAAAAAAAAAAAAAAAAAAAAAAAGTGTACACGGAAAGGTGAAACACAAAAAAGAGCGAGCACAATTTTCTGCTGCCTGGGTGGAGAATAAAATATGGCAGCAGCATATACGTGTGTGTATGTGTGTGTATCCATAAGTGCTTCGCCAAAGGGGATTATATTTTTCGGGGTACCTTGCGCGAGGGCTGGTTAGAGGTTAAGCCGTTAAGCGGCTAAACGGTTCAGCGGCAGAACAGTGAAGCTGTTAAGCGATGAGGCAGGAAACTAAACGATCGGGCCATTGAACTATGAGGCCTTTACACGATGCACTAACTCAATGATGCACGGGGGTAAGTCAAATTGTGAACATTGCGGTGGTGGCAAATGAGGAAGCGTGAGTACACAGGAACACAGGCACACATATACACACATATCCGTGTACATATAAAAGCAGGGGAGGCGAACCCTTACACTTTATTTCCATTTTCACGGGGTTTCGCTTCGGCTTCACTTACAGTGTTTGGGGGCTGATGTGATAATGAGACGGGCTTCATCCCCAAGTTGCCTCAAAAGAATGTGTGCCAACAGATAAAGGCGTGCTGCGCCCCCACCCCAAAAGGAGTCATTTCGCTTCGGGGGGGGAAGAATAGTCTAAAAAGGAGGAACATCTGAATACAAACTCATAGTCGAATAAAGCGTGAGAAATTAAGCTATTCTTCAAAGGGCAGCACATGGAAGAATTAAAAAAAAAAAAAAAAAATATATTACAAAAAAGGAACCCCAAAATGAATCCCCAAATGAACCCCAAATGACGCCAAAATTTACACACATAATGAAAGGCTTATTCAGGGGCACTGAAATATGTACACTCGTTAAATGTGCCAGAACAAATAATCAATCTCACACCTTCGGGGCCGGGGCGGGAAAACGGGGTGTGCCACATCTTGGCGACCCCGGGAGGAAGATATTTGCACTTGAAATGCCATATTTTTTTTTTATGGAGGCATTTTTAGCGGCGTATTCTTACAAATGGCAGATTGAAGTAGTGGCAACATGGCACACTCTCCCCTTTGCTTGTTCCATGTTTCGTTGCCCCTATTTTTTTTTTTTTTTGCAGATGGGGCTTAATTTCTTTGCACACATAATTTTATTCTACACGAGATACGGTACCGCGCGAGGGATTTTTCGCCCCGTCGCCTCGTTAAATGTGCCCTTGGCTAAACTTGTAAATTTTTTCCCGTTGCCAAATGAGCCAAACTTGTTTGCGCGTTCCCTGCTATTTTTTACTTTTTTTTTTTTTTTTTTTTTTGTCAAAATATTCCGTTTTTTTCCTGCTCTTTTTCCTTTTTTTGCGTAGCATGACTCAAGGAGCAGGATGTGAACACATTACAAGAGTGTCGCACATTGAATGTGTAGAAAAGGTAACGAAGGGGGGCAGTGCAATTTTGCCTTGTTCTAAGCTGGCACGACAGGAACTTGGTGCCTCACCATCATGACTTGGTGGACCATTCCTGGCAAATTTGGGTGTTACAAGAATTCTGTGTGGATACGGCATATCACGCAATGGAGAAAAAAAAAAAAAAAAAAAAAGTAGCCAAACGCGCGCACGTGCAATTTAAAATTTGAACACGTGGTAGCTAAAACATATCAAGGTGGGGGTTGTGTTTTTCCCAATTTTCCAATCGAAATCCTTTTTCCTTAAGGTGTAGCCTGCATTCGCAGTGACTAAAGGGTTGAGTTAAAATGAGTTAGTGGTTTATTGGGCGGGTTTTCTTCAATTGGCTTTTTTCAAATTGGCCAAGTAGCTCCAATTTGTGTTGGCGTAAAGAGGGGTGTCGCATCAGCAGTCGTGGTGATACACGTGGCATTGTGGAAGACGGAAAGGTTTACCTGCCTCTCTCCCAAGACCACACGGCATGAACATCCTCGCGCGGTTAATCCTGCTGTTGCTGGCCCTGCTGCACCTCGCGAAGAGTCAATATAGCAAAGACGGAGGAAGGGAAGGTAATAATAATAATAGGGGCGTACCTATAAGGCAGTACAATGTGGGGGGAAAATGCTTTATTTGTACTTCGTGTCCCCCCAAACGTTACCTAATTGGAAAAAAGAGTAGAGTTGTGAAAAATTTTAAAACAAGTTTTAGCATAACGGATGTCCAAAATTTGGTGAAGAAAATACCACGGATAAATTACCCCCTTTTATGTGCCCCACTTGAAGTGCTACTTCGTCTGAGTAACATTTTCTCGTTCATGTTAACCCTAAATGCACTGAAGTTGATACGGAATGAACATAGGATTGCTCTGAATGATATAGCTGATAACATAAGCTCGAGGATATTTTTGCTAAATGCGATAAATGACGTGGTCAGGAAAATACCTGAGGAGGCCCCTCAGTTGTGTAAAATTTTCCTTTTTTGCGTCGCCCAATTTTGTACACAGTTTTTTTTTTCCCGTGTAACTGCGCATTTGTTTTATGATAGGAATGAGAAGGGTGTCATAAAGGGTGGGGGAGATGACGAACAAGTGCAGGTGGAAAAAGACGGTCAGGGGAAGCTGCACATGGATGGGGAAGGAAATCTCATTGCGCCAATTGCAGAGGTCACCCCGCAAGAAGAACAGGAGGGAAAGAGTTACACCAGGACAAATGATGTGAACGGCCGAAAAATAACTACGCATGAGGAAGACGCGGGAGAAACGGAACAAATGAAAATGCTACAACACATGTGCATGCTAAACCAGTCCGGACTGATACCAATATATGTGTACAATCACCTGTCCAAGAAGCTCCAGTTTGAAGGGAAAAATATTTCTCTCTTTGTCAACTGTTATGTGCTAATTAGCGGCATTTTAACAAAATGTTATGTAAAATTTTTTGTACAGAAAAAAAAAAAAACAAAAGAAATATCAAGCGATGAGATGATGAAGGGCGGCATTTTCCTATCATCCATGTTCAGTTCACTTTTGAAGAATTCCTATTTTTGTTTCCTTTGCATTTCTATTTTTTTCAAAATTTTTGAAAAAGCTAATATATTTTATGAACAGTCCATTAAGCAGTCTATGATGATGTTCAACACAATATTGACTCCATCTGTGTATGTGATCCTGTCGAGTATTTTGTATGAAGGAATTAAATTGCCTTTTTCTGTATCTTTTAAAGATCTCCTCTTCGTGTTGCAAAACAGATTTGTTGTGTTTCCTTCCCTCATTTGGGCCATGCTGCATGTGAGCAATCGCGACGGAGTTTTTAAGGTATGCGGTGAAGCGATATCACGTTGGACGGAGTCGATGTGCATGTCGCGGGAGAGAGTAACTTTTGCGTCCATTCCAATGGTTCCACATTAGCGTGAAAACATTTACATATGACATCACACCGCTTTATTTCATTTCCCTCCCTTTTTTTTCCCCCAGTTTGACAAAAACTTACAGCTGTACTTGCTAGTCCAAGCCATGACCCCCCCAAGCTACAACCTCTTCCTGTTGGCGGTAAGATTATAAAGAACAGATAAGGGCGAGAAAACTATTTTGTGCTGTTTTAACCAAATGAACGTCGTGAAGTGTGTATATGAACGTTTGTGTATGTATAGCCCTGCACACATATATATATATTTTATATTATTCCACCTTTTTAGAAAAATGGTAGAGAACCCAATAGCATTCGGAAGATCCTCAGTCTGTCTTACCCCCTGTATCTTATAGCATTATACTTTTATGCCTTAGGCCTGTTTAGCTATTTTAAGAATTGAAAAGGGTAATCAGCTGTTGAGTGAGCCGTACCCCGCGCCATCAAACGACTAATTCATTTCTGTTCCCCTTTTCCAATAGCCTCTATCCTACTCCTTTTTGCATGCACATTCAGATCATCGCAAAAAGTGGACTGATCCCTCCCCACCCCTGTTCAGTAAAATGCAGTAGAAGAGGCACGTTTCCACGGGGATCTGTCTTGTCACAATTAAGTAGACATGCGGAAGGTCACACCAAAAAAAAAAAATATTAAAAAAATAGTGTTTTTTTATCTCCCCCTTTTTTGTGAAGACCATTGCGTTACACATTTGTGCATACAACTTGGTGCGTATGTTGGGGGTGCGGAGGGGACTCACTACAAAAAAAAAAAAAAACTAATTCATTTTCACGTTTGACTTTTTATTATTTTTTTTTGTGTATTCTACAATGTTGCCATTTTTATTGCATTTTTTATTAAAACTGGAAAGGTGATGTTAAACCCATGATGCTATGGTAACATATTTGCGCCTTCCCCATATTTCCGTGTTTACGAAGAAGGGAAGAATATGTTTTGCATCTGTGCTTTGTCAAAAGGGAACGGACAAATGGGGAGGCTGCCTCTTCTCCATGATCATCACCTTTGAAGTGGGTTAATGGGCTTTTTTCCCGTGTCGAATAAATTTCCTATTTCCCTATTTGCCGTTTCGAGGTGCGCTGCGTTGCCGCGCTCATTTGGCTAGTTCCCTTTATGCGTATAGTACGTAGGAGGGGCGATTACTTTTTCATCCTGCAGTCCACCCGCTGGGCGGCACAGTCATTTTGGCCATTCCGGTTGGCAGTCCCCGTTGGCAATCCCCCTTTGGGGCGTTCGTTTGGCGCAAATATGTGGACCATGTGGTTGGCGAAATTATACGGTCTATCGATTGATATATATATATATATTTTTTTCCCCCTTTTTGCCCCCTTGTACCACGCTGCAGTGTACGCTGGACACAGTGGCGGTGGCGATTGAATCCCGCTCGGCGTGTTGTCAATTTGTTAATTAACATTTCGAGGAAATTTAAATTCCACAATATAGGCAACCCAGAAAAAAAAAAAAAAAGAATTTACAACGTAACAGGGAACAAGTATAGTCCACGATGCGATCCAAATTGCATTGTAATTTTTTTTTTTTTTTTTTTTTTTAGGGTTAAAAGGTGTTGCGAAATGGACAATACGTTATAGCAAATATATTTCACTTGACGCGCGTAACACCTGAGCATGCGCGGAGGGGTTCAGTTTTATAAGTACTGTTGCGTGGGTGTGCGGCATCTTCCCACTTGATTCATTTATGAAAGTTTGTGATGCAATGGTATTTTGTGAAACAGTAGTTTTTTCCGAGACGTTTTCTTTTTTTTTCCCAGTGGCATTTTTTTTTTTTTTTTTTTTTTATGCCCCAAAGTGTAACTATCACATTCAAATTATTTAATTTGTACCACCGAAAAAAAAAAAAAAAAAAAACGACCAATCTTTTCTAACCGCCTTTTACCTGCCGCGGGTCATATCACAGTAGAAGAGGGGTGTGGGTGTTAGTTTTCCCTGAGAGGTTAGAGAAGGCTGGCACGACATAGGCTCCAAAATAATGCGCCTCCCTTTTTTTTTTTTTTTATTGTCCTGAATCGCGTGATCGTGTAGAAAATATATATAAAGCAGAGGCCACTTCGCCTTTTGTATGGAGAGGCGACTGTTGGGAATTGCCTCAGTTGTTTTTGCGTAACGAGTTTGCAGAACGTCGTTGTGTATAGCATAACGTCGCCCCTTACCTTTCACCACTTATCTTGGCCACTGCTCCCCTCCACGCGTAAACCGAATCAGAGAGGGAGCGTAAAAAAAAAAAAAAATGGAAGCGTCAACATGGGCCCTGCACAAATATCTGCTTCCCTTTTTTGTCCTTTTTTTCATCTGGGGCGATGGGAAGGGCTGGGTAAGTTGCTTCAACGGAGAGGGCCATGAGGCCATAGGGATGGTCGCCATGTCAGGGATGAAGAGCGAGCAGTTGTACGAACTGAAGAAATTGTTAAACGGAAAGGACATAGTAGACATTGGGAAATGGGGGCACTTAGTCCATGACAAAATAAAAGGAGCGGAGTCGATGCATTTCAATTTACAAAACAACGACTGCAAGAGGGCCGTCTTCAAGTGCGAAGATGAAAATGGCTTGTGCCTGATCAACTCGATAAAGCACTTCTACGGGAGGTTGGCGGGCGAGCACTCGGGGGCGCAGCCAAGTGAACAGCCAAGCGGTCAGCCAAGTGGACAGCCAACCGATCAACCAAGTGAACCACCAGCCGGTGAAGCAACTGAACAGTCAACCAATGAAGAGCCATCCGGTGACGCAACTGCAGAGCCAACTGAGCATCGTGCGTCCAATTCTGCCCCGGCCGGGTCGAAGGCCATCCCCCTCAAGTACCCTAAAAACATCACCTTCACGGACGCAGACGCCCTCAAGTACCTGGTCTCGCTCATCGCGGACATGCATCAGCCATTAAGAATAGCACACCGATACGACAACGGAGGGAAGGACATTAAAGTCATTTACCAAGATGATTACAAAACGGTGCAGACCAACATGTTCGATTACATGGAAAGCGAGTTAATAAATAAAATGATAAAAAGGTACCAGTCAGCATGGTATGGAGGGTGGACCCATGTAAACCGATTATTTGATGAGCATAAAAAAGACGAAAAATTATTTAGTGCAAAAGGAATTGATGCAATTGATATATGGGCAGAGCAAATTGTAAATGAGTTTTGTTCCGAGTTTTACCTGAACAGCTATATAAGAAATTTTATGGTTGGGAAAAAGGACGAATTACATTTTGATACAACCAAGGAGGTGGAAATTACTTACGAATTGGAGTTACACTTGGAGAGAATGCTCAAGGTTAATATATTGAGGGCTGGTTCTCGCATAGCCATCGTGCTCAACAGCCTCTTTGCAAATAGAAAATTTTCCAGCCTCAGGAAGAAGTCCGAGTTTGATAAAGGTAGGGCCGTGAGAAAAGAGGGTCACCAGGGTTCAGGGTAAACACTGATCCGCTGACCCCCTCCACGCATGCTACTCACATGGTTCACTTTTCTCCCCTTCTCCTCACAGTCGAGTACGAGCAGCTGGAAAGACACACAACGGCCTCCGTGTATAAAAAAAATGCCGTCTTTATAAATTTAGCTATCATTTTTCTAGTGTTGGTATGGGCACGAAAAAAAAAAAAAAAAAA